GAACCAATGTTACGATCATATGGTTTCCATTTATTGATCCAAGATGAAGTTTGTCTTCTTCAACCCCAAGATTAAAAGTGAGATATAATGAAGATTCCTTTCCAAGGAAAGCTGAAAATTTTGACAACAAGAAACTAGTTGAGCCAACTAAGATCAAATAATAGGTTGTTGTTAAACATCTTTACATGATATGGTTTGAGTTGTTTTGTTCGAGATCCAATTAGATGTGGAGACATGAAAGGAATTGGAATAAATCCTCCTTGTGATATGTTTCAAGAGTCAAATCAGAACAGACTCTATTCTCCTGATTAATCCCTGCTGAGTCAGGCATATCTACATCTACACTCTTCAAAGATGATAGATTCTCTTTTTAAAGATGACAGATTCTCTTTTCAAAGATGAAAACTTTATGGGATTTCTACACAAGTCCAAACAAATAAAGTTGGTTTTATCCAATACAAGATGGGGCATCAAAGTCATAGCTCTGACTATAGCAAGAGTTCCACAAGTGAAACAATTCTTCTGAGACTTTCATGAAGCAAAGAAGACATAAAGATACAAGTTGATCAGATGGTTCTTCAGAAATGCAAGCTTGATAGCATAAGTTGCTACACTGATATCCAGAGGTGACCCTGGCAATAAATGATGAAGTGGAGGAAAACCGAGTTCACCATTTTGAAGTTAAACGAAGATTGCATCAACATTCATGCATCATATTTAGACATTTGCAAAATAGGAGCATTTTCATTCATTTTATCCATGTTGAATATTTGACAGGAATTTCAAAGATTTTAGCAAAGTTCAAATCCATCATTCAATGGATCAACATTCCAGGTCGAGTTCATAATGAGAAGAACTCATCTGAAGAAGGAAGAAGAAATTCATAATGAGAAGAATTTGTTCAACCTTTTGCTCAAATCCATCATTCGATGGATTGACATTTCTATAGAAGTTCATAATGAGAAGAACTCATATGAAGAAGGAAGAAGAAGTTCATAATGAGAAGAATTTGTTCAACCTTTTACTTGAATCCATCATTTGATGGATCATCATTTCCAGAGAAAGTTCATAATGAGAAGAACTTATCTGAAGAAGGAAGAAGAAGTTCATAATGAGAAGAATTTGTTCAACCTTTTACTTGAATCTATTATTTGATGGATCATCATTTCCAGAGAAAGTTCATAATGAGAAGAACTCATCTGAAGAAGGAAGAAGAAGTTCATAATGAGAAGAATTTGTTCAACCTTTTGTCTGAATTCATCACTTGATGGATTATTTTTGCCAGAGAAGGTTCATAATGAGAAGAACTCATCTGAAGAAGGAAGAAGAAGTTCATAATAAGAAGAATTTGTTCAACCTTTTGCTCAAATCCATCACTTGATGGAACAGCTTTTCTAGAGAAGTTCATAATGAGAAGAACTCATCTGAAGAAGGAAGAAGAAGTTCATAATAAGAAGAATTGTTCAACTTTTTGCATAATTCTATCACAGAAGGAGATAGATTAGCATCAGCCTTTCTAGAGAAAGTTCATAATGAGAAGAACTCATCAAGAGCTTATTCAACTTTTTGAATGACTCTATCACAGGAAATAGGTCAACATCATCCCCAGCGGAAAGTTCATAATGAGAAGAACTCTTCTGAAGAAAGAGAAGAATTTATTCAACATCTCCATATTAATCAAGTGAAGAAGAGATGGATGCAATCCACAAGAATGAAAATTATCTTGAAATTGGGGCATGTTACCCAATCAACATGTTATTTTGAAAAATAATGAGAAAACGATTTCCATAGTTTCTCATTCAATCTTTTCTAAAAATGAAATTGTTGAAAAGTAAGAAAACGATTTCCTTAGTTTTTTTACTTAGTAAACTATTTCCCTCATCTATAAGTCCTTCAGTGCATGATGTTTCCAAAAAGCCTTCGAGAGCTTTTTGATGTTCTTAAAGCCTTCAGGTCATCTGTAAGTCCTTCAGTGCATGATGTTTCCAAAAAGCCTTCGGGAGCTTTTTGATGTTTTTAAAGCCTTCGGGTCATCTATAAGTCCTTCAGTGCATGATGTTTCCAAAAAGCCTTCGGGAGCTTTTTGATGTTTTCAAAGCCTTAGGGTCATCTGTAAGTCCTTCAGTGCATGATGTTTCCAAAAAGCCTTCGGGAGCTTTTTGATGTTTTTAAAGCCTTCGGGTCATCTGTAAGTCCTTCAGTGCATGATGTTTCCAAAAAGCCTTCGGGAGCTTTTTGATGTTTTCAAAGCCTTAGGGTCATCTGTAAGTCCTTCAGTGCATGATGTTTCCAAAAAGCCTTCGGGAGCTTTTTGATGTTTTCAAAGCCTTCGGGTCATCTGTAAGTCCTTCAGTGCATGATGTTTCCAAAAAGCCTTCGGGAGCTTTTTGATGTTTTCAAAGCCTTCGGGTCATCTGTAAGTCCTACAGTGCATGATGTTTCCAAAAAGCCTTCGGGAGCTTTTTGATGTTTTCAAAGCCTTCGGGTCATCTGTAAGTCCTACAGTGCATGATGTTTCCAAAAAGCCTTCAGGAGCTTTTTGATGTTTTCAAAGCCTTAGGGTCATCTGTAAGCCCTTCAGTGCATGATGTTTTCAACATTTCCATATTACTTAAAATAAGCCGAATGAAAAATTATTATTTTTTTTCGTCTTTGCTCTATTCTTGTTAACACAAGAATGAGCAAAGAGGGGCAGCTGTAGACAATAATTTTTCAGTTCATTTTATTATTATTAATTATTAATTTATTATATTATTATTATTAAATAAAAAATAAATATTACAAACCCATTTTACAAGATCCCCGAGCCCATTTACAATTTGAAGCCCAACAGTGACCTAGAACCGGCCCAGACCAGATGGAAACCCTAAACCAATTTAGGGTTTCAGCTAGGGTTTTCAAACCCTAGCTCCCAGCCGCCGCTTCCAGAAGGCTCAAGCTGCCTCTCCAGCTTCCAGACGCTGCTGCTGACGCCTCCACTGCCAGATGGTCCAACCAGTCGCTGCCGACGCTGCTTTTGCCACGCCACCTCGCCGCCGTAGATTCCAGAACACCAGATGGCAGCCCAAATCGAGCTCCATGGTGAGTCACCAGCATAGCTATGGTGACTCACCTAGACATCCCTCTCGGGACCGGTCCAAACAGAACCTCGTGGTGGCTATAAAAGCCACCATACCTGCGAAAGAAAAGAAGAACAGACAGCCACAGAGAGACAGAGAACAAAAAATAGAAAACAGAAAAAAAAAAACGAAAGGAAGAGATAATCACAGCAAGCCAATAACCAGAAAGAAGAGGAAAAGGAGCATCTTACCATCGTAGAAGCCTTTAAATCGTCTGGAACCACCGGAATCATTGTAAAACCGAAGGTAAAACCTTCGATTTATTTTAGATCTAGAACGATCTAGAGCATTTTAAGACAAACGGAGGCCATATTCGGCCTTAGAAGGTCGAGATCTATGCTCTAGAGTAATTTAGGAATTCCGGTCACCGTGAGCGGTGGCCGGCGGTGGCGATCGGCGCCGGAAACGGAGGCCGGTTTTCTCTTCCGGTGAGAGAAAACGAGAGCTTCTCTCTCTAAAGAGAGAGAAGCAAAACCAGAGAAGTGAGAAAGATGGCCCTTAGGGCCGCTTAAATGGGTATAAATACCCTCATCAAAACGACGCCGTTTTGATGAGGGTATCTGTGTAATTTCCATCATGGGTAAACCATTTCCGCAGTCACTATAGTTTGTAATCCTTACGATTTAGTCACTGAAAGTAGTTTTTGATTATTTTAATTTGGTCTTCGAATTTTATTTTATTTTAATTTAGTCCTTATCAGAATATATATATATATATTTAGGTAAATATCAAATTTAGTCCCTCATGGTTTATTAATTATTATTTTAATACCGATTTTATATTTTTAATTTATTTTAATTTATTATCCGAATTTTATATAGTTTTATTTTAGTCACTAAATAATAAAAAAGAAAATAACATGTTTAAACCCTATAATTTTGATTAATTATGAATTAGGTTTTTAATTTTAATTTTACTATAATTTAGTCACTAATTTTAAATGTTTTCATTTATTTTACTGCTTTTAAATATCATTCTAATGGTATTTTTATTGTTTTAATTGTTTATATATTTAAATATTTTTATTATTATTATATAGTCATAAATATATATGATAAATAATAATTTATATTTTTTTAAATAAATTATTTTAATATTTTTCAATATCGAAGAAATGACAGTCTTAATATAACTGGATGTCCTATTCTGGTATTTTAAAATTAAATATTATAAAAATTATTATTTAATTTTATTTAAAATCAATTTATTAATATCAAAGAAAAGAGCTGTCTTAAGGCACCTAGAAGTTCTTTTCTAATATTTTTAAATAAATAAATAAATATTATTTATATAATTTTGAAATAATAGGATTATAAATTAAATATATTTTTTAATTTTTAATTTTAATACTAGAGACAATTTATAATTAAAAAGTATCAATTTTGGGCGTTGTAGGGGTGCTAATCCTTCCCTAAACGTAACCGACCACGAATCCCTTTTTATTATTAAAAAGAACGAATTTTTGGTTAAAACGCAGATCAGTTTATCTTTTAATTGATGTTTTCTTAAAAACTCTTTTAAAAGATATTTTTTAGGTATTCGACTTACCTGACCCAAAAGGCCGATGGCGACTCCTAAATTATTTCCAAAACCATTTATTCACATCAATTTCACCGCCAAATAAATATTTCGTGCCCGGACGAAAACCGGTTACGACACCAAGTATTTTCCATACCTTAACATTCAAAATACAAAGGAAGTGACAATACAACCGATCCTAAAGATATATTATTAGCACTACTTTAGAAAGAGAAAGAAAGAAAATAAGGTGTCAATATGTCTATAAACAGATAAGGTCATTTTTATCAATAGGGATCAAGGATTTCCAAATGGTAATTACCGATAGGAATAATATAACTGAAGAATAGAAAACGCACTAACCAAGACCATCCCCATCAACATTGCAGTGGACCCCACCATGATCACTCTGTCCTTCCATGTAATCCAAGTCCAAACCCCGGCACAAGTTCCGGTGATAAGTCCACCCAAGATAGTACCCATCAGAAGAACGGCACCGGAACAATCGTATGCAACTAGTGCTTCAACTCCTATTGACTGGAATAACTCCCAGGCATCTCTTGCTGATCGGTTAAAACCTTTTCCATAAATAGCTATCTGATCTGCACAGAGCATGCAAAACCATACTATGGTAGTGTAATATTCCATATGAATTTGTAACAGCAAGAGCTTTAAATAATACTACTATATGTCATGCGAGAAATCAACTGTTCATTCTTTTAAGAAAATAAATTTTGTTGCTAAGCATATCCACCATCCAACTACAAAAGGAAAGCAAAAAATTCTCTTGCCTGGAAAATTCATGAGATAAACGGACAAAACTAAAATAGGAAGAATCTCATACAATAAATTGACCTAAAACCTTTGGATACCCCTTCACTACAATATCTGACGTGCCCTTATAATTAAGAGTGCCATCAACAAATCAATATCTGTGCTACATTGAAAAGGATAACATCATGGATGTAATGTTGCTACATGTGCTCAAAAAAATAGGTTATCATATACACGAGAAACCATCAAGAGAATGGTATACAAGAACTACCTGGACATATGCATATTTGTTGAAAAATCGAACAAGGGTCTCCACAAGTTGAAACAAAAAATCAACGCAGCAAAGCAAGCACTCATTGTTGCCAATTTTTGATCGAAATCCTCTGATCTAAAATGCATTTTCAAATTAAGTACTGAAAAAAAAAGCATTCATTTGAATCTTGAGAAGAAAAAAAATAGTGAACCAGTTGGAAAAAAAGAAGAAGAAGAAAATGCTGGTGTGCTTACCTCCCATCGCAGAGTCCGAATAGCAGCCGTGAAAAGTGACCCGTAGCAAATGCTTCCAAAAGATGTTGTTATAGCATACCGTAGAGATTTCATCAATGAGTTGGGAGGCATTGATGAAGCATTTCGACCACCATGAATAAGAACAAGAAACACAAGACCAGACACTATAACATGTACAGTATTGCAGAGAACAGCACCAGTCCAAAATAAGTTTACAGAGAGTACCTGCGAGTATCAAGGCACGTTATGACGTTACTAGTTTTATTAAGACTTGACTGACCATTTTCCTAATAGCAGTCTCCTGCAACTCTCATTACAGTGACAACAGATGGAATTAAAGGCAAAACTTGCTAGCTCACCACAAGAAGCCACCAGCGTCCAAGGTCACCCCTGCTTGAAGCCACAACACCAGATATTCCAAACGACCATATGCCCATCCATAAAAGCATGACAGCAATAAACGCATATGCTACTCGCATAACTTCAGGAAGACTCCATACCAATTTGACAGCTTTTTGCAAGACCAGCATGGTGAATGGAAGTCTGTAAAATGTAAAGAAAAACAATCTAGTCAAAGCAGACTTCATAAGATATGATTACTCCAAACCATAATTATATTTTCCTACTCCGGAGTCCTGACCACATTGAAACTAACAGAGATCTACAAACCTAGGCTTGATATAAGCATGCTATGATTCTCCACTATGACTTCAAAGAAGATAGCTAATTCATGTGTAGTTTGTTGAATGGAAACTTGAGAAAACAATTTATAACCATATATTGGCGAATACAACTCTTGGTGAGTGGACATTTGAAATTAACCTACTAAGGCTGTTTGAAAAATGATGAGCCTACATGACCAATAATATCAACTCCTACGTGATAAACTGATCCTCCTCGTTATCTAGTATGTATTGACTCAATTCAGTGACCCTTCTCTTAATTCTGCTACTTGAACCAAGGCTGCATATTATCAGAATTACTTCCTTCTTGTCAATATATGCCATCAAAAAAAAACTTCAACGTTTCAACTTATAAAAGGTTATTTCAACTCTAAATAGAACCATATAGTTGCTTTTTCACTCCCGGCCAGAAATTAAACAATTTATTCAATTTAGTAAAAAGATGGAGTAAATTCTATAAAACCAAGGAAATATTTCAGTCGACAAATGAATCAGGAACAGTGGTTAACGGATAAAGGAGTTGTAACCTGTTTCTTTAATCTCCTTACAACATCCAACAAGCAATAAACTGAAGATAACACATTTCATGATTACCAAAACATATGTCCCTAGCTCATACCTGTCTATAACTGCTATAACATACAAGAACTGCACCGCAGCACCAGTTGCAAATGCCACACCCCAGAAAAATAGTTCGCACCAGAAACATAAAACACTAATCACAGCAAGATATGTAGTCAAAATGTGAACCGAAACCTTCATCATTTGTTTCGCGCGAGAACCAAGCAACAACAACCAAAGACATCCAATGACAGTCCCAATCCCACCGGCAACAGCATACTTGGTCCAATAAGTCTCTGTCAATCCATTACTATTCTCCCAAACCCGATTAGTATATCTATCAATGTTTAGCCTATCTGCTGTCCTGAACCTATTGAGTCCAAGAACAGCGAGCACGAACCCTAACAGAATCAAATGAATTATAAATATGGCTAACCAGAAAACATCACGCCAATGACGCAAGTCTGGAGAAAACGTTTGGTCAGCATTTATAATTCTCTCATTCCTCCCTACATTCTGAGACAAAAACAAAAATGCAATAAATTTAGACTAAACAAATTTATCAGAGTGGTTCAGTCATTTACTTTAAAGATTAACCACCACCACCACCACCACCCCCAAAAAAAAGGTGACTGGTTATTAAATATTCAGGATTATGCTGAACAATTGAAAATAATGTCACAAAAGGTGAGACTTGAAAGCCAGAAGTGGAAAAATTATTACATAAACCACTAATCAATAGTCTAAACTAAATATCAAAACACTTGAAACACTAATCGTATGAAGAAGGAGAAATCAACGGAATCAAACAATTAAAGATCCTGATTTTACTTTTTTTAAAAATGAAACTTGGGAATTCAGATTCTTAGCTTGTTGAATAAAAAATCAACAAGATATATAACTACAGCATGAGACAAGAGGTAGTGTCTTGACTAATAGGACAGAGAAAATAACTAGAAATGGGAGGAGAACAGTCGAGCATTACCTGATCGACGGTGCGATGGAGGCAGAATCAGAGGAGGAAGAAGAGATGATAGAATCGCTCATGGAGAATAGAGAGGAGACAGAGCCCTTTGCTGAAATGGAACTAAAGCATTACCTTTGGCAGTCAATTCTAAAAGTTTGAAGCAAAGTTTTTTTTTGCAAGTATTATTTGATCGACTTTTAACTCAAAAGGGCTTTGTCAAAGTTTGTGGGAGAAAACGTGAAGAAGAAGGTTTGAAAATAACAATGAGAAGACGAAGGAATGTCAATGGGGTTGATTAGGAATCTTCTGTGAAGAAATCCGGGTAGGATTTGGTTGGGAGGGGGGAATGGAGGCGGATTATTATTAAATAACTAATTAATTAAATTATTAAACACTCCTAGCTGAAAGTCATTAATGAGAGACAGTAAATAGTTGTTGATGTCGGATTCGACAGTTTGTTATTTTCGTTGCGTTTGGTAGGTGGCCGTTGCGGCTACTTTTTTCTCTTTAACTTGGGATTAAAGGTTATCCTTTGTATCTCGGTTTTCTTGTCACTCGTTAAGTATGTATATAGTGTTAAGAAATTAAAATTTCATAAATCAAAAAATATGAAAAAAATAATATTTGTTGAGCAAGTATATTCAATCGGTTTTTCAAGTTATTTATCTTTAATTTTTTCATATTTTTTTAGGCCATGGATTATAGATCGAAATATTATCCTCCATTCTCCTAGAGTTTTTTCCTTTCTTGTAGGATTAGATTTAGAATTTTAAAAAATAATATTTATTATATTTAAATTATGTTTTAAATTATATGATTTTGTGACGAGAATAAGTTTGATTCGTTGGTTGTAAATAGTAGGGTGATCATTCGATCGAGTCGAGTCGAAAATTTTTGAGTTATTCTAGTTGATGAGTCGTATTTTACAACTCGAACTTAGCTTGAAATTTTTTTGAGTCGAGTTTCTATATATTTTATATTCTTTTCACATTATAACGTTATTTAATATATCAAATACAATTTAAATTATAAAATATATTCATAAATATTATATTTTTAAAGAAAGTGTTTTGAGAGTAAAATATTGATGAGAGTATAAATGAGTCAAGGAATTGATGGGAATAAATAATTTGTAAACAATTGTAGTCAAAAGACCAAATTGAGTAAAATGCAAAGTTAAAAGACTAAATAAAAGAGAGAGTATATTTTTAGTGAAAAAATAAGCATTGAAGTTACATAGGTATTCTATTGTGGTATTTGAGCATGTGGTTCAAATTTGGTAAAAACGGACTTAAAATAAAGCATGAATTGAAGAAATAATGAAATTATGGGAAAATGAGGGATTAAATTGAAAAATAAAAAATTCGTTATAAAAAAGAAAAATTGAAAGTAAACATATATTCTACGATGATTTAGGAGTATGTGGTTCATATTTGGTAAAAATTGGACTTAAAATGAAGAAGAAATTGAATGAACAGTGAAACCATGGACTAAATCGTAAAACTGTCAAAATATTTAGTCAAATTTTTGGTTTTTCGAGTTACTAGAAATTTCAAAATTTCAACTCGACTAGAACTCGAATATCGATTTGATCATTTTAGTTGACTCGAATATTTCAAAACTGAATAAAACGATTTTTCGAGTCGAGTTTTGCTCATCCATAGTAAATAGGGTCGGGTCGGGTCGGGCCGATTTTTTCAAGGGGTGATGTTGGGTCATATAGTGCTTGGGTGGTGGGTGAAAAAACTCATAATTGGCATGTGGATAATAATGTAATTTCCTTAAAGATTTTATTATTTTTTAATTAAATCCTTATTTTATATTGGGTAGGATTTATACTCTAAATATTCAGGTAAGATCGGAGTCGGGTGGGATTATGTATTTTTCTAATCAAGTCAGGCGGGTTGACTAAAAATCCGACCCTAACCTGACATGATGTTATCCCTAATTGTAAACGATTCACCCTTTTACGATTTGAACGAAAAGTCATAACCGAAAAAATGATGATCGTGAGCCAATGCTTGAAAAAGGTCTAAATCGAGTCATTACGATAATACGATGATTGAGGACAATTGTTGTTCGGTGTGTTTATGGTAAAAAGAGTGAATGATCATGAGAAAGAAGAAATAGAATCAACCGATTACTGAGGATTCATCCTCTTTTTTAATCTTGATCTAAGAAATTTATTGATTTTTAGTGTGTCTATTTATTGTAGGACGATTATGATTATTTATTAGTCGGCAATAGACCGATAGATTGTATAAATTTAGTAGTTAGACTTTAAATTTTGTCTTGTTAAGTCACGTAAACTTATAAGAGATAGTCAAAATAATTTCTATGCATTGTGGTTCACTCGTAATATATGCTCGGAGAACAAGAACTCTTAAGAGTTTCAATAAAAAAAAAAGGTTTGTAAACAAATATAAAACATAAAAAAATTAAATATAAGAATGTTTATTATGAAATTTTAATTAAAAACATAAAAAAGGTTTGTAATTAAAATATAAAAACAAATATATTTCAAATGAGTTGTTTAGGATCCATATTCTCTGTGATATTGGTTTAATTAAAAATTTAAGAATAAAAGACATCATTAAAAATAAATATTTTCAAAAAATAAAAGGTTAATTACCAGTGGCTTCAACACAAATTTTGCAGGTTGTTGCTAAACAAAGAAAACATGTTAAGGAGTTGAACAAAACCAAATTACAAAAGGTTGGTTAAGTCTGGGCTGTTTCAAGCATAAGTGACAATAATTTAGTGGACACGTGGACGAATAGGTTACTTGATACTTATTCCTTTATGTTCGGTCCATGTAAGCACTGACCCCATAAATAAATTACTACATGTTTGATACATCGAATCCTTCTTTTTAATAAAACGACTCAATGGTCATACTCGTATCAATAATCTATGGAGTCTCTACGTTTTTCCACTCTTCTCCTCACGCATTCAATTAATTTACTAACATGCCACCACCGACGACATTGTTTACGTCCAACCCACCCCACACCGTCACGTCAGTTAACTGCGTACACCGCTCGAGCGGTAAAAAGTTAACATTTTTTTCACCAACATTGAAAACTATAAATTACAAACAGTAAAAAAATGTTTCCAATAAATAAAACTAATTTCTTCTAACATTTGTTGGGCACGAATCCTACGCGGGAGTTTGCGAGATCGAAACCGACACGTGTCCCCTGCTGCTGCACGTTTCCAATGATCGACAACGTTGAGGACGTCGGCGCAAACGCGAAACAGAAGGTTCCGATAGAATCAACAGGTATCATGTAATTCTTAGCCGGTAACGGTAGAACTTTACCCTCGGGGAAGTGAAACGACAGCGTTGGAACATCCACGCTACTCTTGAAGACAAATTGTAACACGTGTCGAACAATGCTACGTTGCCGGCTGACGGTAAGTTCTTTGTCCCTTTAGCGAATGCGTCACGGAGAACATTGTACGTGTCCGTCCTTAACCGAGTCACGGCGGTCCCCGAGTCTATGATAATCCCGCCGTTACCTGACTCGTCTATTTGGAAAGCTGACTCGGGAATCGGAAGCAACTGGCCGCCCACACTGATACCGGTTAAACCGAGATAGTAAAACGTGTCTAGCTGGTGGTTACGGAGTAATGGAGCTGTAACGGCATTAGGAGGGAGAGCCGAGTCGAACTCAAGGGTGGAAACTGAGTCGGAGTCACGATCCACGAGACAATAGGAGAAAGTACTAGCGTTGAGCTGGGACGAAAAGGAAAGCGGTCCGCCGCCGAGACCGAGCAAGCCACCCGCCCCGACAAACAAGCCTTCGTTGTCATGGCCACAACCGATGGCTACATTATTTACAGAATCCGACCCGAGGGTGATGGTTTCAGTGACGAAGTCACCCACGGTGTAAGAGCCGTCGCCGTAGGAAACCTCGTAGACACAGGTGCGGTCGTTCCGGCATTCGGAATCGTCAAGGTACTTGCATTGTTGCGCTTCGCAATTTAGCGGCGAGTAGGAAGACGATAAAGATGGCTCGAAAATCGGGTCGGATTGTTGGTAGCAGTCGGCGCAGGGTGCGCATTGTACCCAATTGACGTCACTGCCCGTGTCGAGAACCATGTAAACTTGACTCGCTGGTGTCCCGATTCCAACTCGGGAGAAGTACTCTCCGCTTCCTTGATTCGAACCGGACACAATAGGACTTTCTAGGTCCTCCGCTCCCAACTCCGACCCTTTATCAAGCGGTCTCAGATCCGACTTTGAAAAACCGTTGACAGCCAGATCCAACCGAGTGGCTAGCGAGGTGACTCGAGCTGAGTCACGCTCAAGTCGGGATAAAGTCAACGATTTGTAATCAAGGTGGGAGCTTTTATGAACAGAAGCCCTGGGATGAATATGAATGGAGAGAAAAGACGAGGGAGAAGGCGAAGGTAAAGCCGAGAGGCTTTGGCCTACAGGGGTAAATGAGAGCACATTTCTGGTCTTCTCAAGAGCGTCAGCAACGTCGAGAACCATCGTCGGCGGGTGAATTTGCAGCAAGTTTCGAGAGCAGCCGACAAACGGAGCTGCAAAGAATAAACAACCAGCGAAGATAATGCCAAAAAGAAGACCCATTTTCGCTGAGCGAGAAAGGTAGCTGGAGGTTAACTATGGGTGTTAACGGTGGGCTTTTACGGAGAATAGAAAAAAGGATAAAAATTTCGAGTGGGAGCAAAAGAGAAAGGGTGTGAATTACTATTTATCCAACCAATGCAAAACTTTAGATTTCTCTTCAGAGATGGTAATTTTGTCGAGGGGGTCATTATCTTTGCATGTTGATTTTGAGGCGTTTTCTGTTCCGATCTCCAAACGGGTGGATCCAATAATCCATCGCTTTTCCTTGTCCATGTCGATCTGTTGGATCACTGTCTTCGTACGTTAACAAGTTTGATTAATTTTTTTAGTGTTGGGATTTGAGCGTTTTTACCTAAAATTCATATATATACGAAATATTATCTCTCAGATATTTTTTAAAATATTATTAAATTAACATTCTTTATGACAAAGAGTGAATGATGAGCGCATCTTCGTTGGATTTTTAAATTATTCCGCACTCTATTATTACTTGATCTTTACATTTTTACTATTCATCCATCTCTCTCCCTTATAAAAACCCTGAATGAAAAAATAAACACACCAAAATTATTTTCACGTTCTTTTTTATCTAGTTAAGTAGATTTTGTTATAATTTTTAGAAGGTAAAATTATTTTTTATTATATTATATTTAATTATTTGACTAAATTTTATCGTATTAATTATTTTTATTATTTTTTACAGTTATAAAATAGAAGGCGATATCATATCTCGAGAAATTTTTTTCGATACTGTAACAATATTAAATTGTGTTATTTAAATTATTGTGATTTTTTTTTATTTTTTAGCATTAGTTTATATTTTAATTTTTATATTATTTATTTAATTATGTTTGTTTCAGCTATTGTTTTTGTAGATATAAGACTCTTAATCTTTTAAATTTTTTTAAAATGAGACATATTTCAACTATTGTTTATTATAATTGAGAAATTTAAAAAGATGAAAGTCATCTATTATTTTATAACTGTAAAAAGTAATACAATAAAATAAAATATAATAAAATAATATAAACTATTAAGTGATTATAATATAATAAAAAAAATTCACCTTCTAAAAAGTATAACTATAACTTCTTAAAACTTGATAGAATGATAGATAAAATGAAGAAATATAATATTTTCATTTGCGTTGTGAGTATTGAAAGGGAGAGAATATTTATAGGGGAAGAAGAGGGAGAGAAGGAGTTGGGCGGTATTTATGACAGACTGTTAGATTTAAATGAAGGGCATATATCATGATTCACGCCTTTTGATAACTCATATGGAATTTCACGAAAGTGTGCTTCATGATCCACGTCTTCTAATATTACATCAGCTCGGACATAAACATGCAAAAATGTGCCTTATGATCAGTGCCTTTCCACCGTGACAGTAACTCGGACAGAACCGTGTGAAGGCATGTTTTATGATCTGTGTTTTATCAAAAAAATACTAGATCGATAATATTTAGAGAAAATGTATTTGACAGATAATATTTCGTTGTTATGGTGATTTTTTTTTTTTTTGGGTAAAAGCGCATAGGATCTTGGGTTGTACTTGTAATTTTCTCGACATTATTTAAAGTAAAACATATGTATGCATCATTTGTTTTAAGTTGTGGAGAGTGATGATTTTCTCGTGCAATTCCATGATAATCATTATGGTACGTAGCATCATTCGGTCAAAGTCGCTTTTTCTTTTCTGCTATGTGGAACTTTTGCTAAAAGTGAACCACTGGACCACCCCTCTCGTTCGTTCGCTCCCTTCCGAACGGGTAATTAGTGGTGGGGACAAAAGGTCACGTGAAATTTGCAAATTGACATATTTTTTAATTAAAAATCAAATGAACATATTGTTTTTATTAATATATGGTGATTATATGTTATAGTATCTGTTTTAAATTTTTTTAATTATTATATGTTATTATCATTAAATTAATGTTATTATATGTATTTTTATCTTAAATTAATGTTTGTTTATATTTATTATTTGTCGAAGATATTTAGGTGAGATTTTAATTCTTTCATTGTATTTTTTTAAGTTTCTTGTTTATGATCTTTCATGGTATTATGAGAAATGCAAGTTATTTGTTTAGTTTAAATCTTTTATTTTTTATTTAATAAAATTAATTATTATTACTATCATTAGTTGAAATATAGAGTTTTCTATTATTGAAAGATTTTTTTTTTGTGTGAATAAATTGTCCGTTTACTTTATTATAAATAAATAGAACACATATAAAATAATTATATTCAAAACAAAAACATGTGAAAAAACATAAAACAAAGCATGCCCTTGCGTAAACACAGATCAGAGAGGATTCATCCAACTCGTCTTCCTCGGATGTACAAGATTGATGATGGAGGAGCAAATGAGAAAGCTTACTAAAGGGG